GTTTTGCACGTTGTCCTCTTTGCCTGCTGCTACCGCTGTTTGTTACTTGTTTGTGTGTTTGTTTCTTTCTCTTTTTTTACTCGCGCCTCGAGTGCTGGACTGTGGTGCCTCTTCCTTCTCCTTCTTTTCCCTTCCAGGGAGTAATTGTGTCCGGCAACGATGCTGCAGCGCTGCGGGCGGCTGTATTTCAGCAGGACGCCGCCGTGGCTTGCCGGCGATGTGGCTGCCCTTTTCGAGCGGTACACGGAGATTGAGAACTCCAACGAACGACGGATTAGTGCACTGAAGGCGTGCGGCATGTTTGACGACGAGTGGATCGCCACGGAGAAGGTGCACGGCGCCAACTTTGGCATCTACTCCATCGAAGGGGAGAAAATGATACGCTACGCGAAGAGGAGCGGGATTATGCCCCCCACAGAGCACTTCTTTGGCTATCACATTTTGATACCGCAGCTGCAGCAGTACGTCGCCGCCACGCGTGAGATGCTCTGTGACAAACTGCAGAAGAAGCTGCACACCGTTCTCGTAAACGGTGAGTTGTTTGGGGGGAAGTACGATCACCCCAGTTTGCCCAAGTCGCGGAAGACGGTGATGGTGGCTGGTAAACCCCGGACAATTAGTGCCGTGCAGACGGACCCGTTTCCGCAGTACAGTCCGGACCTTCATTTTTATGCGTTTGACATCAAATACAAGGAGACCGCGGATGCCGACTACGCCACGCTCATGTTTGATGAGGCAACCGAGCTGTTTCAGAAGATCCCCGGGCTACTGTACGCGCGGGCCATCATTAGGGGGCCCATGTCGAAGGTGGCCGCCTTCGACGTGGAGCACTTCGTCACCACCATCCCCCCGCTTGTTGGGATGGGCAACTACCCGCTGAAGGGCAATTGGGCAGAGGGGCTCGTGGTGAAGCACGCGAAGCGGGGAAAGCCCGGCTTTGACCCCAAAGGCTTGACCATCATAAAGTTTAAGTGCACCGCCTTTCAGGAGATCTCGACGGACAGACGCCAAGGGCCTCGCGTTGACGAAATGGAGGCTGTGCGGCGGGATTCCATTAACCGCTCGGGTGTTCAGCTGCCGGACCTGGAGAGCGTCGTACATGATCCGGTGCAGCTGGAGGCCTCCAAGTTCCTGCTGGATCACGTCTGTGAGAATCGCCTGAACGCCGTGCTGTCGAAGATTGGAACAGACCCCTTTGAAAAGGAGGAGATGACGCCGGATGCGCTGGCGACGCTGCTGGCCAAAGATGCCTTGAAGGATTTTCTCAAGGAGGCGGAGCCCGCCATCGTTAACACGCCCATTCTTACGCGCAGGGACATGGTAAGGTACGTCCTCTTCGAATCGAGGCGGCTTGTCTGCTCGCGCTGGAAGACGATTCTCCAACGGCAGACGCCGGACCTTGTCGGGTGAGGGGTGTCGGTGGACGATCGGCCAAAGGCTCGTCAGCTGCGGTGCTGTGGATGCGGCATGACGCCGTCCCGCGCTCTTGTCTTTGCACCCCTGTGTGTTTCCCTTCTCCCCACGCCGAGGCAGAGTGTCTTACTTCTACTTCTCGTTGGTCTTCTTGGGAAAGTCCGTGGAGCGTTTGGGGTGGGTTGGGGTTTAGGAAGGGGAGAAGAGGGGAGAGGGGGCTCATGCGCGTGTTTCACCGCGCTGCGCATGTGCTGCAGAGGCTGACGTCCGCGAGGAGCATTCAGCGCCGGGCGGTGTCGCGTGAGGCGGTACTCGCGCGGTGGAACGCCCGTCCCGAGGACGCAGCAGCTGAGGCGGCGCCGGCGGCGGGCGGCGCTACGGGCGTCGTGGGCAAAGGGATGAAGTTTGCATCCGCCGTCACCGGCGGCGGCGGCGGCGGTGGTGGCAGTGGTGCGTGGGGAAAACCCCGCGCGGGTGTTGCCTCAACGATCGCGGACGTCAGTTGGGACCTCTGCGAGCGCCTGGATTTCTACGTGCAGTACAGCGTGCCGTCGAACTGGTGGGTGACGGAGCGGGTTGGCGAGAACAGCCTCGCGATCCAGTGTAGGCCGCCGCCCGCCGGCCGCGGCGCGGGGCAGCCGACGGTTCATGGCTTTTCCCTCAACTGCTTTGCCTACAGGCGGAAGGTGCAGGAGCCGGACAGCGCGAAGCTTCTGAGCCTGTTCCTGCAGCGATTTAACGCGTCCGTGTCCAACTCCGTGGAGGTTGTGTCGCGCTCCGCCGGGCGGGCCGCCGCCGCCGCAGCAGCCGATGCCTCCACGCGTAGTGTCAGTGAGTCCCTGGCGAGCCGATTGGACTGCGCCGTGGCGGAGATCACGTTTACGCCAGTCGCCGGCGAGCCCCTGGCCCACGGGCTCTGCCGCGCCTTTTACAACTCGAACCACAAGTTCCACTACGTTGTCGTGGTTGCGGTGCCGGAGGACGAGTTTGCGGTCTCGCTGGACCTCCTCACGCACGCGTTGCTGGCGGTCGTGGAGGGCCGGGTGGAAGCGGCGGCAAAACGCACATAAAAAGCGTGCCGCACGCACGCACGCAAGGAAAAAAAACAGAAGGAAAACGTCGATCGAAGGCGCCTTCGCTTGGTCGCGCGCACTGGCCCAATCATCTTCCCCGCTGTTTGTCTTTCCCCCCTCCCTTTTTTTTTATTCCCACTCTCTATTTCTCTCTCTCTGCGCGGTTTACACACACCA